CGTGTGTTGCTTCTGGGTTGACTCCAAGGGGCTGTCAGCACCCAAGTTGCATTCAACCCTCTTATGTGTCTTGGTTTCTCTCCCCAGCTGTGTGATACAGTCATGAGGACTCCAAGCACTAGGTAATCAACCTTTATGTGCCTTTATGTGTGCGTCTCCAGATGAGTCATTTGACTAATTACAGTTGAGGTGGAATTCCCTGTGGGGCTCCTGCAAATCATGGGGAAATGCCCCTGACACACCTCCACAAAGATTCATAGTCACCTAAGAATACCCATAGTGGAGGGAGGAAGTGCCCCTTATTTTTGGAGCCAAACAAGTTCAAGCTCTCATTTATGTGGTAAAAGGTTTTTGTTCAGACTCTCAGAAAGCAATTCCAATTGGAAAGCCAAAGTTAAAAACCAGCCACCCATTTTTCCTCCTGTCCTGCCTTAGCCTGGGTTTTTTCGACCCTTAACCTTTATTTCTACCTTGAGGATTTTAAAAAATGGCTCAAATAAAAGCAGGACCTCTTACCTTAAATTCCAAGTGAAACTCACCCAAGTTCACCCAAAGCAAAACAAGGATCTGGTGGGCAACAATGGGCCCCTGCTGGTACAAAGCATAGGTCCAAGTCTTCAGGTGGTCCTGGGTGGGAATCCTACCGACTGTGCCAAGTAAATGTCAATGTAAGAAACTTCCAGACGTGTAAGAATTTTCATGAGTTTAGTTGAGCCAAACTAACAATTGTCGGGAAGCAAAATCTCAACGGCTTGAGAAAATGCTCTGGAAAACAGTTTTACTGCTTATTTTATACATCAGAATCAAAGGGGAAGACATAAATAAGGAAGTTACAAGAAATCCAATGATGATAGATTAGGGAGGAGAGAGAAAACAAAGTGGAGAAACCTCTGGGATTGGATAAAAAGTAAAATGAATAGACACATAATTCTTTTACAAGGTGTATATAGGATAGTTAACAGTCAACCATTAACATGATAACAATAACAATGAGGGGATCCTGGTCTTTGCTCAGGTGCAGTGGTTGTGTTTTGAGGGGTCTGGAAAAAAAGAAATTACTTTGATATTCCAAAGATATGTTATTGTAGTTGCAAAAAGACAACATCAGACAGGCTCAGTTAAGATCAAGATTGACCTTTGTTAGGGAAAAATACTGGCCTGGGACAAAACTACCTGTCATGACCTGCTTATAGTTAGAAAGTTTTCATTTCAGACCGTCATATGTGGTTACTCTGAGTTTGTAAGGCCGCCATACAGGCCTCCCTCAATTGGTTAGGTCAGTATGTGGCCCCTTTTTCATCCATAGTGTCCTAAGTGAGGAAGGAGGGCAGTATGAAGCCAACATGTCAAAGCCAGACTATGGTGGCACCACCTAAGGGAGAATCCATGGCTCTTATAGCTGGGGGAATTGTCATGGCCTTTGGGGCAATCCTCTGAAGGCAGAAAATCTTCTGTACCATCTCTTCTTCTTTATAAAAAAAATATAATTTATTGATCTCAGAGAGGAAGGTAGAGGGAGAGAGAGCTAGAAACATCAATGATGAGAGAGAATCATTGATCGGCCGCCTCCTGCAAACCCCCTACTGGAATCGAACCTGGGCATGTGTCCTTGACTGGGATCAAACCCAGGACCCTTCAGTCTGCAGGCTGATGCTCTATACACTGAGCAAAAACAGCTAGGGCTTACCATCTCTTCTGCATTGAAGCCCCCCCGCCCCCCGCCATGGTGGGGGCTCACTACCCTGTGAAAGTAGGAAAGCTACCTTTGTCCTGAGCAGAAATGTATCTCCCCACCCTCCCTCCTCTGAGTCAGTTCTGGCATAGTCCTCTGGGAGGGGAAGGACATGCCGCTCCCCTCCTCTTCCTCCTCACCAGTGTCCACACTCATACCTTATGCTCTGATGACACTGTTGGTGAGGGTGCAGGAGGGTTCCAGAAAGGACATGTCACATGATACTTCTGACGTTCCTATGAGACAAGGGAGGTAGGGAGTAGGGAGCTGGCCACACTCTCATCACATGAGCTTAGCAGCCAACAATACTGCCTTACAGGCACAGAATGGGATCAGGCTGGATCTGGGGCGAGTTAGGCACCTGTGTGTGCTGGGGGCAGTTCCATACATGTGTATGAGTACACTGTGTGGATGTGGGCAGACCCTGGGCTCTCTGGCCTGCATGGGGTTGAACCCACCTTGGCGCCTTATCTCTGGGCTCACAGGGGGGCAAAGCTGCACAAGCAGGCACATGGGCTGTCCCTCCACTCCTGGACCAAAGCATTCCTTGGGGATCTCTGCTGTGCTGCAGAGATGGAGGTGTTGATGAGGGCCTGAGGCTTTATGAAGGTTTGGGTGGTGTAGAACTTTTGTAAGACTCGGGGCTTTAAAGGTTAGGCTGGGAAAGTCTCTTGGTTTCTACAACTGCTCATCATGATTTTGACCATCTTGCCTCAACCGTGCTTGATTTGCTAGACTTTGCGGGTGCTTGGGATATGACCGAGGTTCTGAGGTGTTTTAGATGTTCTGGTGTGTTTGTGAAGTTCTGGGGATTCATGGGGTGATATTGGTGTTCTGGGATTCTTGCAATGTTACTAAAATTCTGGGGATATTGCTGAGATTCTGGAGGTCCTCTGGGGAATTCGGCGGTCCTTGGGGGTGTTTCTGAGTTCTGGGGCTCCTCTGGACTTCCCATTCATTCTGGCTCACTCCTTTTAAGTTTAGCATTTTGCCCTTTGAGAATTCTGATAACCACAGGCTGAGGAAGGCACACACATGGGCCTCTGTTTCTAGATGCAAAAATTCCTCAGATGTAATCAACTTGAACAAAAAACATGGAGACAAAGGAAACTCTGTCCCAAGGCCTTCATTGGCCAGCTCCAGCCTGAGGGGCATGGCAGCTCTGTGCTAGGCCCAGATGGCACATGGTCGTTGTCTGCTTAGAGCCTGAGAGGTTTTGGGGACCCATTTCCACAGTGAACAGGGTTTAGCCACCCCAATCTGTGCCCAGCTGGGAGTCCAGCTTGGCCTGGGCTGATCCTTGGATATAGTATCAGCCTCATCTGAATGGGCCACAGCTGGGTAACCCTGACTGCTGCCCTGCTCTCTCCCATTCTCAGCTCTCTTAAGACAAACTTCATTCCAGCTACCATTGCTGACTTTATCTGATCTTAGGGCCTTGCTCCAGGCCCCCTCAGGAAGCCTTCAAGACTGCCCAAGCCATCTCTTCACTCCACATCCTGCCTCCTCCTCTCTGAGCTTCTGCAGTCTGTATCCCAAGTGCCTCCGCTCTCTGGCCCCTCCTCTCCTGGTGTCAGGTGCCGGTCTCCTACTCTTTCAGGTGTGAGTCCCACTGTAAAGCCATGTCCAGATGGCAGGCCCTGGACTCTGCCTCGTGGGTCTGCCTACTGAATTTGGATGGGAGCCTTTAGGATATTAAGCCCTGTCCCCTCTGAGCCTTCACACATGCTATTCCCTCTATTGAGAATACACGTCCTAACCCTCCATCTAACCCTCCACTATCTGCTTCACTCAAAGATTACTTCCTTCAGGACTACTCCCTCCCCCTTGGACCAAACTTAGTTTGTGTCAGGGCATTCTGCCTTCCCTTTATGACCCTCAGACACTTGAGGTCATTTTTCTACTCATCTGTGTCCCCTGAACTATGAACACTCACATCCCAGGGCCCAGAACAGTGCTGGCACTTAGTAGGTGGTCAATGAATTTATGTTAAAAGACTAAATGGATAAATGTCTTCTTACAAAAGCTTGTTGAACAAATGCCTAAGCTGGGTAGGGCCAGGGCCCAGACCCCTGTGGGGTACTGGGAGGACACAGACCCTCAAAGATTCAGGGGTCCTGACCCCCACTCAGGGGTAGGGGCCTGAGAACTAACTGCTCTCTGCATCTTGCCCCCCACCCCCATTCCTACCCCTGCTAGAACAAGGAGTGGGAAGGGAGCAGATGGGGATGGGGGGCAGCTTCTCAGGGAACACAGGATGGAGAGATATCTCCAGCAACTGCCCAGGCCCTGTCTTCCTCACCCTCACTCCACATCCTGGAAGGGGCAGGAGGCAGGCAGATGGGGTTCTTCTTGCTGCCCGTGGGTCTGGTTCCTGTTGAAACGACTAATTTCTGCCTTGTGGGGTGAGTTATCTCCCTGTGAAATCAAGGTGGAAAAAGAAAGTCTTACCAGTGAGACACATGTTGCGTCCTTCATGGAAACCAGGGAGAAGGAATGCACAGGCTCCCTCCAGCCTCCGTCCTGCCAGCCCCACCTGTCTCCTTGGGTTGCTAAAATGCCAGGTTGCCAGACTGGACTTGAGTGAGCATGGAGTACTGCAGATATGGTGGGCAAAGGTGTGGGAGCTTTGGGGCAGGCATGAAGGCAGGTACTTGTGTTTGAAGTCGGGGGCAGGTTCCTCCTGGCCACACCCCCTGGGCTGGGAACCAGTGGAGATCAGCGCCATCCCCCTCCCAGGTGTCTTTGTCAGGATCATGAAAATGGGGGTGGGGGAGATTGGGCTGGACCTCCAAGAGCAGGAGGGGCCAGGAATTCAGCTGGGAGGGTCCAACAGACTTGCTGAGCCCGCCCAGCAGCCCGCCCACCCTTTCATCTCTGCAGCTCCTTCCTCCCTGGCCCTTCCTTGAGAGTGTGTCTGTGGGTTGGTCTGGTGGGTTTGAGGAGGGGGAAGGAAGAGAGAGTCTTGATTGGACACAATTTCTTTGAAAATGGTCCTTTAAACAAAGGCCTGCTGGTGGTCAGACAGACAGACAAGAGCTCCAGGACCCCAAGGGAGCACTACTCTCAAGGGCTAGCACCCTGCAGCACCAGGCAAATTTGGGCGGGAGGTAACAAGAAAGGACAAGAGAAGCCCTTCCCCTCCTCCCGTGCCAGCCTCCCAGGCCCACATTCCCGAGCTAAAAGCAAGAAAGTAACCTTGAGGATTAAAGAGAAACGCTTCTTTGTTTGGGTTTCTTTCTTTTTATTTTTTTTTCTAAGCCTCTTTTCACATCTGTAGACTTTTTTCCCCCTCTTCTTGTCTCGGGGTCAGAGGAGAAGAGCCAGAGAATGTCCAGCGCAGCAGGGAACCAGACCTCCTCTGGGGCCACAGAGGACTATTCCTACGGCAGTTGGTACATCGATGAGCCCCAGGACAGCCAGGAGCTGCAGCCTGAAGGGTAAGTGGGGCCCCTGGCTCTGGCCAGCGGGCAGTGTGGCAGAGACACGGATGGGAACAGGGAAGACTGTGCAAGGGCTGCTGAGATGGGCTCTGCCATTCATCTGCTGTGTGGCCCACGGCAAAGTGCAGCCTCTCTGGGCTGGAGTCTCCTCATCAGTTACATGAGAACAACAGCCCTTGTCGATGTGTTAAGATACTTGAAGTGGGGAACTGGCCAGGCTAGTCACCAAAAAAGCACCTGTGTGGTGTGTTTAAAGTTGATTGATTCCTGGACCCCATCCTTAAAATGGGTGGCATGGCTGTAGCCAGGATGGAAAGTGCTGGGTGAGTGGTTGAGGGAAGGTGGGCCTGCCTTAAAGGGTTTACTGGGCCCTGTGGTGACCATCTGGGGTGTGGTGTTAGCAAATGTCAGATTCTCTGGGCAGGCTGAGGGAGGGAGAGGCAGAGAACCAAGGAAGAAAGGGGGGGTGGGGGGAAAACAGGACACGCCTGCTTTCTTTGGCTGGCCTCAGAATCTATGAAGTTGAGGAGGTCCTGTTCCTTTTAGCAGGAGTGCTAGGGTCAGCCAGGGGAGGGAGGCTGCCTCAACGCAGCCTAGTGTCCCCTGAGGAGGCAGGCCACAGCTGCCTTTTCCCAGACCATTTCTATATTTGTTTAGTCTGGGCACCCTGGTGGGGGAGCTGGGCCTCTCTGTGCCCCCACATGCTGTGCCCCCACATGAGAGCCCCAGAGCCCAGTGTTCCATCCCTGGCCCCATCCCCCACCTCCCTGCTCTGAGGGTTGGGGGAACTGGAAAGGTGAGGCTGGGGGGTTGCCGTGCCAGATGTGTGCACATCTGTTTTTCATCAACAAGAAACTGGAGAAGGAGAAATGTTCCTAAGCCTTCTCAGGGGCTGGGCCGTGGCCTGGCCAGCCCTGGGTCACCTGGCAGGAGTGGAGCTCCACCCAGGCCTGGAGGAAGGAGCTGTTTGTGGGACTCTGGGCTCTGCCCACAGGGAAAGCAGCTCTGCTGTCAGCAAGGGGGTGTCCCTCCTCTCCTTCTATGGTTGACCCTGCTGCACGCGTATGGAGTGGGAGGAGCAGCAGAATGGGGGGGGGGGCAGGAGCCCCAAGAGGACACGACCCTGACCTGGGTTAAGGCCCTAATGTGAAGCTGTAACCTTAAGTGCCTCCTGGTCTGGTCATTGGCTGGGGCGCACACCTGGGGCAGCTCTGTGGCTGGGTATTTAGGTATGGCTCTAGAGGACAGTTGGTGTGTGGCAGGGGCTGGGCAGTGGAGAGTGCTGCTTCTAATTTGGGAGGCATCTAGAATGCAGAGCTCCCTTTTCCCACTGCAGGGAAGAATGAAGAAGTTTGTTTGAACCTACTCACTTAGCCAAACCAAATCAAGCTGCCTGCCTCCCCTCCCCACCCCCTCAAAGTGGGAGCAGGAAGCAGGTAGCCCAGGGGAATCCCAAGGAAGTGAACTTGGGCTCACCTCGCCACCCTGTATGAGTCAGACATTCCAGGGGGATGGGGCACCAAAGCTTTGAGGAGCTCTGACAGTGGTTCCCCTCTGTGCCTCCGTGTGCCCCAGCAGGCTTGGGAGTTGGGTTGGTAGGCTCTGGTGACTGTGGCTGGGATGGACTCAATCTCCTGTTCACACTTATCCATGTGCCCCTATGGTGTCAGGGCAGGGGTGGTGAGTCTGATGGGGACGGGATGTGTCACTGGGTGTCCCATGGGCAAGGGATTGATCCGCATAAGCTGAGCTGGCCTTTTCCACCGCAGAGGTCCCTCTGGCCAGTCATGTGCCCAGCTTGACGTGTGCCTGCATGCTATCCACCCATCATCAATACTGAGCATCCCAGCCAGAGCCTGGGGACACAAATATGCCTGTGGCAGCTGCCAAGAATGTCATTCACCTCCGCACAGCTTCAAAGGGCTGCCTGGAAGGCGGAGTCAGAGGCTTTCCTCATGGACTTCCTACGGGGAGGGGTGAGGCCATGCCAGGGTCATCTGCAGGCCCTTCTGCTGTGAGTGGGGGAAGTCAGGAAGCAGGGCTCCAGGTCTCTTGGGACCTCACAGCCCCAGACCTCCCCTCAGGCAGTCAGCCTTTCCCACTCACCCACAGAGATGTGTTCTGTCCTCCCCTCTGGATGGGGCCCCTTGAGGCTCCCACTCAGAGTTGAATTCTAGAAACAGTTGTCTGGTTCTTTCTCTGTCTCCGTGTCCTTGCCACACTGCAGCCGGCCTCTGTCCCTCAGTGTTCCAGACCAAGGCTCAGATCCTTGGGCCTCATTTGATTCAGGTGCTCACCACAGTCATTCCAGAAACCTGCCTTCCCTCTGCTCTTCTCCACAGCAAGGCATGTACATTCTTCCTCCTAAATGCCTCTGAGATACAGCCTGACATTTCCACTCCCCAGCGACTATCTATGCAGAACCATTTGTAAATGCTGATATTCTACTGTTTCTGATGTACAGACATGGCAATTTCATATGGTTCACCTTAACTTCTCACCTCCCAGTCAGAGGCAGGTGCCAGAGCCAGGCTATCTCAGTTTGAATCCTGACTCTGCCATTTGACTAGCTGTGCGCTTTGGGCAATACACTTAGCCTCTCTGAGACATACCAATAGCATATACCTCTTAGATAATAACTGAGTTAATCCATGAAACAAACAGTGCCTGGCACTTAGTCAATGCTTAGTAAGTACTAACTACTGTTACTTATATTCAAGCCTAGCAACAGAAATTTCCCAAAATTGTCCTGGATGAATGGCTATCTTAGCTTGAGCATCATCTGTACACCAAAGTGTTGTGAGTTCAATTTCCAGTCAGGACACATACCTAGATTGTGAGTTCAATCCCAGTCGGGACACATACGGGAGGCAACTGATCAATGTTTCTCTCTCACATCGATGTTTCTCTTTCTCTCTCTCCCTTCTTCTCTCTAAAATCAAGAAAAAACAAAACAAAAAAACACAACAACAAAACACACACACATATTCTTAGGTAAGAATTTTTAAAAAAAAGAAATTTCCTAAAATCCTGAACACTGTCCTGTCTTTCAAACTTAAAGCAAACACCACTGCCACTGACACCTGCCCCAAGGTTCTCTTCCTCCTCTGCATCCTGTAGCACCTGCTTGTGTGTCTTCCAGGATCAAGCTCCCCACCCTCCCTGAGGTGGTGTTCCTTGTATCTGTGCCATTCTGTCTGTCCCACAGCACAAAACACCGGCCCATGAGCCACTGGCCCCTGAGAGTGTGGCTCAGTTGGTTGGAGGATCATCTGGTATACCGAAAGATGGCAGCAGGTTTGATTCCTGGTCAGGGCACATACTATCTAGGTTTCAGGTTCAATCCCCAGTCGGGACACATACGGGAGGCAACTGATCAATGTTTCTCTCTCACATCGATGTTTCTCTTTCTCTCTCTCCCTTCTTCTCTCTAAAATCAAGAAAAAACAAAACAAAAAAACACAACAACAAAACACACACACATATTCTTAGGTAAGAATTTTTAAAAAAAAGAAATTTCCTAAAATCCTGAACACTGTCCTGTCTTTCAAACTTAAAGCAAACACCACTGCCACTGACACCTGCCCCAAGGTTCTCTTCCTCCTCTGCATCCTGTAGCACCTGCTTGTGTGTCTTCCAGGATCAAGCTCCCCACCCTCCCTGAGGTGGTGTTCCTTGTATCTGTGCCATTCTGTCTGTCCCACAGCACAAAACACCGGCCCATGAGCCACTGGCCAAATTTCTGTTGCTCAGACCTCAGTCATTTGAGGGTCCGTGAGCCTAAGCCAAACTGAGCTAAGGGGTAGATGGAAGGCCCAGATGATACAAAAAGGGCCAGAGGTTCCCCAAGATAGGGCCTGGAGAGGATCCATGTGGTTTGGGGTAAGTGGGAAAATGGCCACGCTGCTCCAGGGACAGTTTGCTGAGCCTTGGCTAGCGGGGGGACAGGTTTGAGCAGGACCTAGTCAGATGCGGAGATGCACGCTGAGGGCCTACAAGGGTGGCTATGAGCTCCTGGGCTGAGAGAGGCCATTTCTCACCCGAAGCCCGACCCCATATGCTGGAGTAAGGGCCTCAGAGTTAGAAGTGGGGAGTGTAAGGCCTGAGCTCAGACAGTGGGAACCTGATTCCCTACATGGCACCTGCCCTACCCATGAGTACAGTTCTGTTTTGGAAAGATGCCAGCTCTGCCCTGGCCAAGAAGTTGCACAAAACAGACTTATTCTGTCCCTCCACCCCAAGGACAAGCCCAGCGACCAGGTTCTTTCCTGCTTCTCACCCTCTGGGATTTTCTGAGAGAAAGCAAGCTCTGGGAAGACTAGGCTGTTCCAGAGGAGTCACAGGGCTCTGAGCTCACCTGCAGACGAGACCTTGGGAGTCTTACTTCTCACACAGCACGAGGGTGCCCAGGTGGTTGGCTGAGCCTCCTGGGCAGGGAGGGCCCAGCTGCAGCGCCTTGCAGGCCTTGTCCTCACAGGCGTCCTCCCAGACTCTAGCTGGGCGAACTCAGGAGTCTCCTCCTCCCCAGAGACCAGTCCTGTCTGCTCTGCCAAGTCCAGGGCCAGCTCTGAGCTCAGGAATCCTCCCTTTCTTTGCCATGCTCCAGTTGAGGAAGCGGAAGCCTTTCTTGAGCCCATTGAGCTCTTTATCTCCACCATGGAGCCACCTCTGTACTCAGCTATGGCTAGAGTAGGTCCTCTGCCAGGCCATGGGCGCCTTTGTGGTCATTAGAAACAGAGACCCCCACTTAGATGAATGCAACTCAGTAGGCGCAGTGCTTGAGAGCAGTGCGGCCTGGATTTCAGACCACATCCATTCCCTTGGCTGGGCATCCTTGTGCAGTGTGCAAACTGCTCGGCTGTACATGGAAGCCCTTAATGAAAGGGAAACAGGAAGAGATATAAGTCCTGAAAGGCTAAGGAAGATCATTCCAGTCAGACACAGACCAAACTCAGATACCAGTGAATGGAGGGCCAATTGTAGGACCAAATACGTGATTGTTTGACATAGGCAGTATGCTCAGTCACAGTTCTGAGAAGAGGTCTGTGATGCCTGGAACAATCAGGGAGGCTTCCTGGACGAGGGGGAATCAAGTGGGTCTTGAAGGATAGGAAGGATCTGGGTGAGAAAGAACAGAGGTTCAGCCTAGCTGGCCCAATCTGTTTCTTCCGAGTCTTCTCCTGGGAGCCCCCTGTCTCCTCTAGCCCTGGAATCTCAGAGTTTGGCACAGGGCTGGGATACCATAGGAGCATGAGTGCCCTGGAATAACCTGAGAAAGCGGAACTGGGTAGGCTTGTGTAAGAGAGATCAAAGGGTTGAAGGAGATGGAGCCCCAGTGTAGATAACCTGGAACCCCAGACCTGGTGGCCTACCTGGGGAGTCCCTATTCAGGCATGACCAGCCTTCATTTGATCTGCAGGGTAGTGCCGTCTTGCCACCCCAGTGTGCCGCCTGGCCTCCTCCATACCAGCTTGGCTGTGCTGTCGGTGAGTCTAGTCCAAACTGGCTTGCAACCTGCTGCCAGCCTGGGCAACGTGACTGGTGTTCCCAGCTGGGGCTGATGAAGGGAGCACCTGGGAGCCCAAAATGTGGGCGGGGGCTCTCGCAGGGTTGGAACCCAAACCAGGATGCAGGCCAAGTCCAACCTCCCAGACTTTTGTCACCTCTTGGCCAGTCCCCAAGATGCCACATGAGTATGCACAGGGGAATGGGGGGTTTTCCCGGGTAGCAAGGCCAAGTCCCCAGACTCAGCCCATCAGGGAAGGCCTGGGCACCCCACACCCTCCACTGTGCTCTCCTTTAGGTGGTTGTGTTGCTGCTGCTGGCCCTGCTGGTGAGATGCCGGCAGCTCTGGCCCCATGGCGGACACAGCAGGTCCGGGCTGCCCAGGTTGGTGCCGTGGCCTGGGCACCCCCATTCAGGGGGCCCAGCTTGGGGGGCGATTTTTAGGTACCAGCTCTGGCCTCGGGACACTCCCTCTTCTCTCATCCTGGGGCACTCCCCATCCCCACCCAGATCTTCAGGTTTAGTCAGGATGATCAGAGGGACGGGGAGGGACCCACTCAGGTTCACCTGCTCCTGTTCCAATCCCCGAGGAACCGGAACCCAACAGGGCCCAGCTCTCGGACACAGTTTGTCAGGCGATTCATGGTCTGGACAAGCCATGATCACTTCACACCATCATGACCCTCGTTTCCCCTGAGGGTTTCATCTGGATCCTGATGCTAATGGCAGATTTCTGCGGGACTTTCTCCCCCTGACTCTTCATCCTGCAACCCCAAAGCCCGGACAGTGATGACCCCCAAGAAATGACCCTGAGGAGATGACCCTGATCACACTTATGTGGGCGACACCAAAGGGTTGGGGGGGGTGGTGGTGGGTGGAGCCCCAATGTAGGCAACCTTGCACCTCAGGCTGGGGCTGCACACCAAGGTGGGTCCTACATGCTGACTTTGTGGGGGAAACTGGGGTTTCTACCCTGACTGGGGGAGGGTTTGGGGGAGAGTGAAGCAGGATGGAGGTGTCAGGGCATGAGGGTAAGATAGACCATAGAAGCAGAGGGTCTTTGTGGCCTGACCTGAGCCAGGGAGGTGATGCCGAGGACAGCTGTGTCCTCTGTCTGCCCTCTGCCCCAGGGTCACACTCAGGGCAGGGCGTTGACATTGTGCAAGGATGTTGTGACTCCTGGAGCTCTCTGAAAGTCTGCCAGCCCAGACAGAGCAATTAGTGTGGAGGCAGCTGTTTCCTGGAGCTGCCAGGGGGGTGGAGGGAGCTGTGCTCAGGCTTGTTAGTGTGTGTGTGTGTGTGTTGTTAGTGTGTGTGTGTTTGTTGTTAGTGTGTGTGTGTTGTTAGTGTGTGTGTGTTGTTAGTGTGTGCGTGTTTAGTGTGTGTGTGTTGTTAGTGTGTGTGTGTGTTTGTTGTTAGTGTGTGTGTGTTGTTAGTGTGTGTGTGTGTTTGTTGTTAGTGTGTGTGTGTTGTTAGTGTGTGTGTGTGTTTGTTGTTAGTGTGTGTGTGTTGTTAGTGTGTGTGTGTGTTTGTTGTTAGTGTGTGTGTGTTGTTAGTGTGTGTGTGTTTGTTGTTAGTGTGTGTGTGTTGTTAGTGCGTGTGTGTGTTTGTTGTTAGTGTGTGTGTGTTTGTTGTTAGTGTGTGTGTTGTTAGTGTGTGTGTTGTTGTGTGTGTGTGTGTGTGTGTGTGTGTGTGTGTGTGTGTGTGTGTGTGTGTGTGTGTGTGTGTGTGTGTGTGTGTGTGTGTGTGTGTGTGTGTGTGTTGTTGTTGTTGTTGTTAGGCTTGTTCCTGTGTGTGTTGTTGTTGTTGTGTTGGGGGGATGTTCCCAAGTCACTTTGCCACAGGGCCCAGAACTTGATACATAGAAGGCACTCCACAAATGTTTGTGGAATGAATGGATGAAGGGCCTCCAATTCCCTATCTGGAAAGTGGGCTGGAAAGTGGGACTGGCTCTACTTCCCCAGTTTGTGGGACATGGCATGAGGTATTGGGGTACTGGGCCTGAGCAACTCCCTCATGTCCTGTCCCTGCCCATGCCCCAGCGCTGTGGACTTCCTGACTATGGATGGGCCCTGGACCGTGCCCGCTGCTATCTTTATGGTCCTCTTCAGCTCCCTGTGTCTGCTGCCCTTGGCTGAGGCCCCGCTGCCCTTCCTCACCCTGACTTCACCATCCAGCCGAGGTACCCAGTGGTGTGGGCCTAGATTGATGGGATGGGGTTGGGGTGGGAATCCGGAATATCAGAGCAGGGCTCTTCTATAGTGAACTCAGTTGCTCCCCATTCTGTTCATGAGCCACTGCCAAGAAGACACTGTCCCCTTACTTCGCCCACTGTCCCTCCACAATGCCTGAAGCTCCCCTTTGTTGGTCCCAGGTATTGGGTCAATACTGTCTTATTTGCTTCCTCTATTCTTGTGCAAACCCCACCTCCAGGATGTAGGGGACTCTCTTGTTCATGGGCACAGGCTGAGTCCCCCAGACTCAGGTCCCCCTCATCCCCCAGTGAGAATGAAGGAGGGCGGGGAGTGGCCCAGGAAGGGGTCCAGGAGAATTGACCTGAGCTCAAGAAGGTGATGGTAACAAGGACAGCTGCCATGGAGAGGCATGAGGCATGACCTCTTTAGATCATCCAGTTTTCACAATGACTCCACAAAGTGTGGACATTAGCCCCACTCTATAGTGAAGGATGCTGAGGGTCAGAGAAGGAGATAATAATAAGGTAGTAGCTTGTATATTTAGTACTAACTTAGATACTATGCTGAGCACCGTATGTAGACCTTCTTATTTTGTCATTACTAATTCAGTACTATTACTTCCATTTTACAGATGGGAAAACTGAGGCTCCAAGAGGTAACTGGCTCAAGATCAGAGAGCTGATACTAGTCAGCCTGGATTTGAACACCAGGCACTTGCCTACTGAACCACCTGAGGGACTTGGAAGATGGAGACATGAGAGAGGTCTGGGTGGACTGGATTCAGTCCACACCTGCCCCTCTATAGATATTTCTTTCTGCCCTTCTTGCTTCCAGGACCCTGGAAGATGCTGGCTCTGCTCTATTACCCTGCCTTCTACTACTCCTTGGCCGCCTGTGCCACAGTCAGGCATGCAGCCGCCCACCTGCTCGGCAGTGTGCTGTCCTGGGCTCACTTTGGTGTCCAGGTCTGGCAGAAGGCAGAGTGTCCCCAGGCGCCCAAGGTAACCACTGATTCATGAGGGCCTGGGGCAGAGGACATGGAGGAGCTGCTTATACCAGCATGGCTCCTTTCATCTCTATTTGTATGCTGGGCTTTCCTGCCACCTTCCACTGTACACGGGATTCCACTCCTTAAAACAGATGTCATTCCACACAGACCCCTATGGGGCAAGGTAGCTGGGCCAGCTGACAAGGGCTTCTAGTCTGGAGGCAGTAGGGAGGAGATAGGGGCAGAAGGGATGGGAAAGGAAGCCTGAAATCCCCCCATTGTTGATCCCCTAGCCTTCTGTTGGCCAGGCTGGAGGGGAAATGAAGACAGATAGAGGGTGGCAAGCACTGAGTAGGGGATGGTCTCAGAGAATTCCAAAACCTTACCTGGTTCACTGGCCATTGGCAAGGGATGTGAAGCTGCCCAGTGTAGAGCCCAAAGGGTGGAGATGTAGGCTTAGGAGTCGGACAACCCAAGTTTGAATCCAGCTTCATTCACTCATTCACTCATCCATTCATTTATTCAACAAACATATTCGAAGCACAAAATCCATACCAGGGACATTTCTAGACACTGGAATACAGCTGTGAACAAGGCAGACGAGGTTCTTGGCATCCCAAGGGCTGCTATTTCAGAAGGGGAGATGTAAGCAAACAAATGTACAGAATGATTCCACATGGTACTAAGTGCTTTGAGGAAACCATGTCAATTTCCTGAGACTCAGTTTCCACCCTGTAAATGGAGTTGATATTATCAATCCCTCAGGGTAGAGGTGAAGATTAGTTGGTTCCTCTGAGAGCAGGGACTTGATTGATTTTTTTTCACCACCCAGAACCTGGTATATACTAAGCTCACAATAAAAAGGATTGACTAACAAATAAGTGAGTGAATATATGAGAAGTCTAGCTCTGAGACTTCAGGGACAAACACCTCAAAGCCAGGAGGTAGGGCATGTACTTCCCTGATGACCATGTTGCAAACTGTGCATAGACAAAATTAGGCCTTTGTCTAATTTCCAGGGGCTTGTGCCCAAAGTGTCAGGAACATAGGAACACAGAAAGTGGGTATACCTGTTTCAGGCTCCATTGCAGCTCCCTGGGTGGGGAGGAGGGGGTTATATAACCTCCTCCTTTCGGTTCCTCTAAGGGCCATGGGAGTCCAAGAGCCTGGGGGAGGGGCAGGCATTTGCAGGGCCTGAGAAGGTGAAGTGGGAGTGACTGTCTTAAGTGCCCTGGTTGGGGTGGGTGATGGTGGTAGAACCAGAGCCTTTCCATGGTGCCCAGACCACCCTCAGAGTCCTGGGTGAGTTTGGAAGGGAAATGGACCCTGGCCTTCAGTTGGGCAGGAAGGCAGAAGGTAGGTGTGTCTGGTGTCTGTCTGTCCATACAGATCTACAAATACTACTCCCTGCTGGCTTCCATGCCTCTCCTTTTGGGCCTTGGATTCCTGAGCCTTTGGTACCCGGTGCAGCTTGTGAGAAGCTTCAGCCAGAGGACAGGAGTGGGCTTGGAGGTAAAGGGGCTGGGCTGGGTTCCCCCTGTCTGTTGGTCCCCTATATGTGGTTATACTTGGTGGAGGACCCAGCATAGGCCTCAGAAAAGGTTTTCCAAGTTGCTGAGTAACTGTTTAGTCCTCCCTCCTAAGGCAAAGGCTAGGCCAGGCCCTGGGATGGCACACAAGATGCCTGGGGCACTGAGCTATGTGCACAGCAAGTACTCAACAAAGGAGAACTGCATCACTTCTTGGCCTTTTGGCTAAGATCAAGTGTAGTATCTGTTCTTATCCGTTAACAAAGGAGAACTGGGCCAGAGCAGTAAGTCATAGCCCTGATCCTGAACCACTGGGATCAAACTGGAGACATGAGACAAGTCAGGAGCCTTGTCTCTGTGAGGAGCTCTGCAGAGACTGCCATGATCCAGGAAGCACTCAGGGCAGAATTGTGGAATG